TGATTTGTATCACTACATTTTGAAAGTTTTGTCTGTTTTAAAACTTCATGTAAAAGGAGTCCTATAGTGTGTAGTCTTTGTGTCTGGTGTTGTTTACTTGACATGATATTTATGAGATTCATCAATATTGTTGCAGGTATTAGAAGTTCATTTTTATTATTGAGTAACAGTCCTTTGTGTGAATATGCCACAGTCTTGCTTATTCATTGGCTACAGGACATTTTTGCTTGTATCTAGTGTTTTGGTATTATGAATGAAGTGGCTATGAATATTTGTATGCTAGTATTTGTTGGACATGTTCTTATTTCTCTTGGATGAATTCCTAAGTGGTATTGTATGTTAAGTGTTTGTTTAGCTTTATATATGAAACTCTCAAACTGTTTCCAAAGTAGTTGTGCCATCAGCAGTGTGTGAGTTCCTCTGCTTCAAATCCTCACCACCATTTGGTGACGTTAGTCTTTTTAATTTCACCCATTTTAGTGTGTTTGAAGCAGATTTCTTTGTTGTTCTTTTTCAAAAATTAAGTTTATTGATGGTAAGATGGACCCATTTTAAATGTACAGTTCGATGAGTTTTGTATGAATCTATATTACTACCACCACTAAAGTCATTATCTGCTCTATTGTTAATGCTGTGTCATTCCCCATCCATCCTAAGCAACCCACGATCTGCCTTCTTTTACTAGAGATTGTTAGTTTTTCCTAGAATTTCATATACACAAAATCATGTAGTATTTTCTCGTGTGTGTCTGATTTCATTTAGCATCATGTTTTTGAGATGTACCCGTATAGTTGAAAGTATTTGTAGTATGTTCTTTTTTTTTTTTTTTTTTTAATTTCTGGGTAGTATTCCATTGTATCCAGACAATGTGTTATACCCCAAACAACATTTGCCTGTTGTTGGGCATTTGGGCTACTTCCAGTTATTGGGAATTTTGATTAAAGCTGCTGTGAATATTATAGTATGCAAGTTTTTGTTTTGTTTGGGGAATATGTTTTTATTTCTTTTAGGTAAATACCTAAGAGTAATATTGCTAGCTTATACGTTTATTACCTTTATATACAAAACAATTTTGAAAGTGATTATACAATATATGGGACTTCCTGTTGTTCAACATTATTGTCCAAACTTGTATCATCTGATTTAATTTTAGCCATTTTAATAGGTATGTGGTGGTCATTTACCATGGTTTTAATTTGCCTTTCTCTGATGACTGTTTAATTTGAACAGCTTTTTATGTGCTTATTAGCTGTTTATACATCTTTTTTTGAGACTTTTCTGTTCAAATCTTATTATTTGTTATTTTTGAGTCATAAGAATTTTTTTTTAATATTCTGAATGTAAATCCCTTCTCAGACATGTATATGTAGCAAATACTTTTCCCAGTCTGTGGTTTACCTTTTCATTTTCTTAATGGTGTCTTTCAAAGAGCAAACATTTAAAAATTTTATATTCATCATTTTTTTCTTTCATCTTTTGCCTATCATTTTCTACTGTGTTTTCTTGGTATCCTCATTTGTAAAATGAGGGAGTAATATGAAAGTTGAATGATTTAGTTTGAGCCTGCCAATGCAGGAGATACAAGAAATGAGGGTTGCATCCCTGGGTCGGGAGGATCCTCTGGAGTAGGAAATGGCAACCCACTCTAGTATTCTTGCTTGGAAAATTCCAAGCAAGAGGAGCCTGGTAGGTAACAGTACATGGAGTAGGAAATGCTAACCTACTCTAGTATTCTTGCCTGAAAAATTCTGTGGACAGAGGAGACTGGTAGGCTATAGTCCACGGGGTTGTAAAGAGTCAGACATGACTGAGCATGCACGCACGCACACACACACACACACACACACACGAGTAAAGCACCTAGAGAATGCATAACACCTAGTAAGAACTGTTAATACATAATGTTAGCTACCTTTATTATTGCTGCATCTCTTTTACTCAGAAGTTGACACTGAAATTTTTGGATAATATCATCTCCCTCCCCTCTGAAGAAATCTTATTAGCATTTTCTTAAATATAAAGAAACCCAAAGTCAAGATTTACTGTATGTGTAGGGGATGATTTGCATTAGATGCTGTAAATTTATTTATTTATTGGATGCCATAGTTTTATAATCCTTCAGTTTACCAGTGGCTTGTTTTTCTTTCATATCTGACAATGTAAAACTATCTACAGGAATTTTGCTGTTTCCCATCCCCAAAAGGTCTAAGGCCCACCATGACTCATCATTTTCTCCATCTGTTAAAGCTGAAGATAAATTTCTTACAGCCACCTCTGACGTTGACTTCAATTATACTTAAAACATAACCTCACCTATCTTCCAGTGGACTCTGAGAAATGATGTTTCAAGTGTCATCAAGTTTTGCTAAAGAGAACTTAGAAGCTGGATTCTGATTGTGGTAAATTAGTGGATTAAAAATGTCATTGACATAATGGCATAAAAGCAATAATAGTTATACCAAAATGGATTTTCAAACTACCAAAACCTAAATCAAGGCAAGATGCTGTTTTTGAAATATATTGCAGTCTGATGAAGATCACTAAGGAAGCCCAGCCTCTAATGTAGGTTTTTCTAAATCTAGTCTCTTTCCTAAAGGTATCCTTTCTATGTGCTCTCCTGAGCCCTAGATAGATCCCAGGCATTCCCATAGTTTAGCATAGTGCCTGGAAATGAATAGGCATTTGTTAAGTTTTTTGAACTGAACTTTTAACTTTATTTCTTCATTCTTTACTGTTCCCTTTTCTAACGAATTCTCTTTGAACTCAATAAATCACTATTCCTTTTTTTTTTTTTAACACAAACAAAAATTTATTGTAGCAATTCTTCTTGCAGGTCCTATATTTTTACTTTTTGTGTTGTTTCAAGATCAGTTATACTTTCTTATTTCCTATATATTTCTTAGTCTTTTATAATACAGTTTTTACCAAAACTATTTTCACATATGTCTAACAGTCTCTTATTAGGCCTCATAATATTAGACTGACTTCATATTTTTTTATTTTGTCTAATCCCTCTTTATTGTATCTTTGTTGCCCTCTCTATGACATATACCTACTCTCTCCCCTCTTTTCTAACCCTTCCATTTTTATTGTTTTGTTTTTGGTTTTAGCTTTCTCTTCTCTTTTTCTTACATATATGAATTCCCCAGGATTCTGTTTGTCTCACTTCTCTTCACCAAAGAAGAAAGAGAGGGAGGGAATTAAAATATTTCCAGAGCTTCATTTTATTTGCCTTTAAACAGATGTTTTTCTTAATCTAGCTCTGATTTTTAATTTAAAGAGAGGTAATTTTAAAATTACTTTTTGTCTCCCTTTGGATATTACCAGAACTTCTCATGGTAAAATTAATTGTTGGATGGAATTTTTTCCATGCTAGAAGCCAGGATGATTAATTAAGATTCAGCCAGACAGGCATAGGGAAAAGGGCATTCCAAGCAGATACAGTATCTTAAAAGGCCCCAAGATATAAAAACTTGATACCTTTAAGGAACAAAAAGGCAAGTCCACTTTGACTGAAGATGTAGTATTTACTCATACAGATGAGGAAACTGGCTCAAGGAAGTTCAGTGAATGAAGAATATATACTAAGGTCATCAAAGCAATAAGTCAGGGAATCTAGATTCAAACTTTGGACTTTATAAATCCTTAGTGTTCTTTCCATTATACCTTGGCATTCTCTAGTGAAAATTTGAACAAAATCTTTCCAAACTCTGGTATTTTGTTTCTTTTCCAACATCACAGAACATTCTCTTACCATTTTCTGTTTTTTAACAAAGAAGATATTTGTATGTGGAACCATTGCTGTCAATAGAAAAGGGATAATTGACCTGGCACCAGGAAGAGGTGCTTCTATTGAATTTGTGGCTTTCAGAACTGATTTTAGGGTTTGCTTGACTCAAAGGATTTATGAGCCTCCAGAGTTGTCAGGGTTCTGTGGTATCCACTATCTATATTAATATGTGGATTTCTTTGACTTTTGCCTGTGAAGCATTAAAACTTTGAAAATTCATAGCAAGTGTCTTATATTCTACATTGTTTCTATTCAATGGTATAATTTTGTAAACTTGACCTACCTCTGGCAAGTATTTAAACTAATATTTCACAAAATACACAAACTCCTTTTTGCAATTGATCTCCACACAGCTGATAAAACATCGAAGTGTTTATCTGCATTTTGATGTGGATGTGTGGGAAAGGGGAGGGAAGAAGTCGTTATGATGCAAAAGCAAAGTTGAAAGAATAATTTTTTTTTTTTCCTTCAGAGGATCTTCTCTATTACCCTGTAATGATCTGCCCACAATCCAGGATGTAACAACCTGTTTGCTTAGTAGTCTTTAAAAATGTCCATATCATGTCACATTTGTTCTGTCTCTTAAGTAACTGGTGACTTGTTAGCTTAGAGACCAATTTCAGAAATGTTTTATGTAAGGAGACTTCCCCAGTGATGCTCTTGCTCCTTTGTAAATTGTGGTGTGTTTATCAGACACCTTATGCCCCTACATTTTTTTTTCCTGATTGTTCTTTTCTTTAGGAATAATGACTGTAACAACACAATGAATTTTAATTCCTGAGCAAATTTTAAAATTCTTGGCATTTTTCATTTGTGATTCTGTATCTTTCTCCTCTCAATCTGAGGAAGGAAATAATATTGAAAGATAACTTTAAGGTACTGATTTTACTTGTTCTAACATCCTTAAACATCCTTCATTTTGTGGGTGTTTTGCCTGAATGAGGACTGTGGAATTAAGCTTTTATGACTCAAGATTTGGGAATATTATATGCCAAATGCATTTAAAAAAATTCTCTAAAACACAGTTTTATTATAGAGACGTATAAAAAATATTTAATAGAAAATTTTTTATCACTGAGGAAACACCTAGTATTTTGTTTAAAATTTCAAAGTATACTTATTTTTCTTTATAATGTTTTCCACCCCATTACACTCCCCCCCGGAGCATTTTTCTATTTCCTTAAATGTCTTCTCTGTTTTTTGTTTACAGGCAGCTATTAATGGTGTAATACCCCAGGAAAACGGCATTCTGCAAAGGTATGTTATAAGATGATGAGAATTTAAAGCAAAAAAGAGACAGTGGTTAATTTTTTTTTTGTTTCACTTTTTCATAGAGCATTTGATCTTTGGTGTTTAAAGTTATTGATACAGTTGTTCTTTCAGACATTTGATTAGTTATATTAATTTCTGAAAGTCTCTAGTGTTTAACTGTGTAATGTTATTTCAGATTGAGTGATACCAATTTTAAAGATGATTTTATTTTTAGGAAAACTTTTCAAGGTCATCTTCTAATTCATAAGATGAAAGGCATTGAATCCTTCAAGCTTAGTTAGTGGTGAGAAAATCAGACATGGCTCAGTAACTCCAGGACATGGTTATCATTTAACTATACAGGCTTATCTCCAACCTTACTAATTCTTTTTTTTCCCCCTTCTCTTTGGTTTCTAAATTAAATTTTTGTTAATTTGCAACAATTTGAGTAAGTCCTTAATAATGAAACTTCCCAGAGCTTTGAACTATTTTGCCTGAAGTATCCACTGTAAAACATGTGGAATAGTCTTCGTGGTTTTGTGTCATTGCCAAAAGGTAAAATTGGAAGATGATGCCAAGAGAACTATAGTAGTTATAAAATAATTCCTTAAACTAAAAATAAATTTATAACTTTCTTTTTTTAAAATTGGAGACTGGTTGTGGATTGAGAGAGCACATTACAAAGTCATAGGAGGTAAACGATTCTCCCTTCCAAGTATAGTTTAATTACTTGATTCCCCCTACCCCTCCTCTCTCCTTGCAGTTCAAACTTTGGCTTGAATTTTGGTGGCTGGGATTTGTAAGTCACTGAAGCATGATCTGCTAAGTGCAGATGAGGCAAACAGAAACAGCAGACTAGGAATGAGGGTTGTTTTGGAGAGGAAGAAAAGCACTGTTGCAAAAACATCAAAAAATTCACCATGAACTGCAGAATGTGCTGTACTTTATAGGAAACTGTGTATATTTAGAAAGGAAGAAAAATTCTGTTTGATACCTGTACCACCCTTTGTGATTAATGGTTTTTAGGTCAAAGCAGTGATAAACAGACCTATTCCCCACTCTCTCTTTTTTTTTGGAAGACTATCAGAATTTCATCCAGAGTAAATGTGGCTGATTTCCACAGTCTGTACCAAATTTTTGTTTGTTGGTTTGTTCCGTTTTTTTTTTTTTTTTTTTTAAAGTTCACAAGCATTCGATTCTATTGAAACCCTTGTCTAGAAAGCAAACCAGATGATTACAAGAGCTTCCTTCAAGATTATTTTTTCCCCTTGGTTTAGAAAGTTTTAGACTGCTAAATATGGCTCCAGTTTTATTCTTGAGTAAATGTTATGTCACTTTTTGTGCCAAAATTTTTGCTTGCTAAACCCTTGTGGATTCAGCTGCTAGGTTCTGAGTACATATTGGATATATCTTATAATTAATAGTATTTGCTAGAGGTGAACTGTAGAAATTCCCTCATCCCTGGAAACATCCCAACTTCCTGTCACAGAAGATACTTTTTGCTTAATATATATTTATAGCTAGAAATTCAGTACTGAATTGATTTCTAACAAAGTTACTATAATATTTGGGGTTTAACTTTCATCAGAGTGGATTTTATTTTGATTTGTTTGCTTGTTAAGGGGATGAATCATATGTCCACAGAAGAAAGTAATAGTTTTCAACTATTTTCCTTCCTAACTTTGTTCTTTAGTTTTCAAATCACTGTGGATTTGACAGAACTGAACATTCTTGTATGTCTGCAACCAGAGGAAATGAAAGAGAGCTCTTTGTACTTTCTCATGGATTTAACACTGAAAGTGTAAGATGCGATGCTAGGAATGGTATATATGGGCAGAATCTTTATGTGTTTGAATTTTGTAATAAATTGACAATAGTCTGTGAAAACAACTACCTCAATTTGTCAGTTTATACCTCAACAGAGAAAAGAGCTACCAAGAAAGGGTGTTTTTTAAAATATGTAAATTATTTTGGGGAAAAGAATCTGATCTCTGTACTTTATAGTTTTTCTTGAAATGAGATGTTCACGTTTGTTCAAAAGTGGGAATTTTTTTTTATGTACCCGTAAGTTCAAGGCAAAGAAATTTCTTTTTATGCTTAAGGTATTTTGCTATGTAATTGATATGATTTTCTTTATTAATGCCCATTAAAACCCTTAAGAAGTAAATGCTCATGTTTCATAGATGAGGAAACTCAAGATTAGAAAATTTGTAGGTTCACTGAAGGCCACAAATGTAGTAGGTGGTGAGGTCTGGATTTTCTCATTTTAAAAACCATGCTGTTTATTTTATACCTATCTGGTCTCTTGAAGGTCAGTAATCTAGTCATGTCATAACTTTTAAGAATTTTTTCCTTGGGGTAAAGAAGTTAAAATTTAACGCATGTATATAGCATCTTTCTTCTAGAGCTTTGTTTTTACACTCACTATTTCAGTTGTGCAAGTAAATGCAGGTATTATTATCTCTCACTTTAAAGGAGAGAGAATAAGGCTTGAGTGATTTGACTAGATAATACAGCATGATGTTGATGGAGTCAGGAACATAAGCAAGTCTTCTGCCTCATCCTCCAAGGCTTATTTAACAATAATAATAACAATAAAAATACATTGCTAATACAGGATATGCTTGCTTACAACTAAAATAATAACTGTAAAAACAAAGCTGTAGAAGAAAGATGCTATATACATGCATTAAATTTTACCTTCTTTATCCCAAGGAAAAAAAGTCATAAAAGTTATGACATGACTAGATTAATAACTTCAAGAGGACAGAGTGGTATAAAGGAAAGAGCATGGTTTTAAAATGAGAAAATCCAGACCTTACCACCTATTACATTTGTGGCATTTGGTGAATCTATAAATTTTCTAATCTTGAGTTTCCTCATCTATGATATATGAGCATTTGGTTCTTAAGAGTTTTAATAGGCATTAATAAAGAAAACTATGTCAATTACCTAACATAATACCTTAAGCATTAAAAAAAAGTTTTCTTTGTCTTTAACTTACGGGTACATTAAAAAAAAGAAAATTTCTACTTTTGAACTCATGTAAAGAGGTAGCAAGAATACACAGAAGAATTTATATAAAAAAGATCTCAATGACCCAGATAACCATGATGGTATGATCACTCATCTTGAGCCAGACATCCTGGAGTGCAAAGTCAAGTGAACCTTAGTTAGCATCACTACGAACAAAACTAGTGGAGGTGATGGAATTCCAGCTGAGCTATTTCATATCCTGAAAGATGATGCTGTGAAAGTGCTGCACTCAATATGCCAGCAAATTTGGAAAACTCAGCAGTGGCCACAGGACTGGAAAAGGTCTGTTTTCATTCCAATCCCAAAGAAAGGTAATGCCAAAGAGTGTTCAAACTACTGCACAGTTGTACTCATCTCACACGCTAGCAAAGTAATGCTCAATATTCTTCAAGAGAGGCTTTAACAATATGTGAACTGGGAACTTCAAGTGTTCTAGCTGGATTTAGAAAAGGCAGCAGAACCAGAGATCGAATTGCCAACATCCGATGGATCATAGAAGAAGCAAGAGAATTTCAGAAAAACATCTACTTCTGCTTCATTGACTAAGCTAAAGCCTTAGACTGTGTGGATCACAACAAATTGTGGAAAATTTTTCAAGAGACAGGAATACCAGACCACCTTACCTGCCTCCTGAGAAATCTGTATGTTGGTCCAAGCAACAGTTAGAACCAGACATGGAACAATGGACTGGTTCCATATTGGGAAAGGAGTACATCAAGGCTGTATATTGTCACCTTGCTTAGCTTTTATGCAGAGTACCTAATGCAAAATGCTGGGCTGGATGAAGCAGAAGCTGGAATCAAGATTGCTGGGAGAAATATCAATAACCTCAGATATGCTGATGACATCACCCTTATGGCAGAATGTGAAGAGGAACTAACAAGCCTCTTGATGAAAGTGAAAGAGGAGAGTGAAAAAGCTGGCTTAAAACTCAGCATTCAGAAAACTAAGATCATGGCATCCAGTCCCATCACTTCATGGCAAACAGATGGGGAAACAATGGAAACAGTGACAGAGTTTATTTTCTTTGGCTCCAAAATCACTGCAGATGGTGACTGCAGCCATGCAATTAAAAAACGCTTGCTCCTTGGAAGAAAAGCTATGACCAACCTAGACAGCATTTTAAAAAGCAGAGACATTACTTTGCCAACAAAGGGCTGTCTAGTCAAAGCTATGGTTTTTCCAGTAGTTGTGTGTGGATGTGAGAGTTGGACCATAAAGAAAGCTGAGCGCCGAAGATGGATGCTTTTGAACTGTGATGTTGGAGAAGACTCTTGAGATTCCCTGGGACTGCAAGGAGATCAATCCAGTCAATCCTAAAGGAAATCAGTCCCAAATATTCATTGGAAGGATGATGCTGAAGCTGAAACTCCGGTCTCTGGCCACCTGATGCAAAGAACTGACTCATTGAAAAGGACCCTGATTCTGGGAAAGATTGAAGGCAGAAGATGACAGAAGATGAGATGGTTGGATGACATCACTGACTCGATGAACATGAGTTTGAGCAGGCTCTGGGAGTTGGTGAAGGACAGGGAAGCCTGGCGTGCTGCAGTCCATGGGATCGGAAAGAGTTGGACTCAACTAGCGACTGAACTGAATAAAGTTTGTAACTAATGCAGTCAGAGTCTAAACCATTCATTTATTCATTAACAAACATCAAATATATACATGTATATTTAATCCTTCTTGTTAAAGTATTTTATTTATTTAGGATATTGTTCTGCACTTTTAAAAAAGTATTTTTGGAGATAGTTATTGTTAGAAATATGCACTAATAAATTACTTGTATTTTTGGCCAGTACATGTTATGTTTTCTAAAAATTTTTTGAATTAATTCTGTGTAATTTTGCTCATTGATTGAATGGTATTTATCAACTATTTTATTTTGTGATCTAGACATATGTACTGTATGTTTCTTTGTTTATTCATTGAGGAAGCCTGGAGAAGAGAGGTTTGTTTTCAGATCTTGA